AAGTCAATACCTATAATATACTTTTAGCTATAATAAAAATTAAAGTTAATAAATAAATTTGATTAGCTTTAATTTTTGGAGGAACAGTTCTAACTTTCTCAATGTATTGGGATTCAAATCACAAACATAAACATCATAGACAAAAATAACATAGTTACTGAGTCCTTAGTTATCTGCATAGCTTTTTAACCACAAAAGTTAATTAATAAAAACTTTTATAAAATTTCAATAAATATAAAGCACAATTATTATTAATATTGCATAATAATATAACCCTTTTTTGCTATATCAACAACACTATAGCCTATGGATACCTCTAGATGCGGAATCTTTTACATAATCAGTAAAAGAATCTTATGGCTTTTGAAATGCTGCTATATAGTACAAAATTAACATCAGAAATATACAATAATATGAAATAATAATAAACTTAATATAAATAGTTTATCATATATACACACACCGCAAAGTTAACATTTTTTAACTTAATAATTTGCTGCTAAACATCTTTAAAAGAATAATTATAGACTGGAATTTAGTTATATTATATTAACAAATTTAATAATATAATTAGTGCTGAAATTTAAGCATTTTGAACCAATACCAAACAAAAAAAAGACTACTTATTTAACAATAAAACATGTACACGAAATAAATGTGAAAGTAGAAAAACAACTAAAAAAAAGTACTCTTCAATTTTTATTTCCAACCAAGTAATAACTTTAATACAATAATATAAGAAAATCAAATATAAAAAAAAAAAAATCAAATTATCCCTGTGGGAATCTAACAAAATTTTGAACTTTTGCTTTGGTGGTACCCATATGCTTGTGCACAGAATAAGAATTGAAGCCATTTGATACTTTTTTAAATGATATCTTTATACATTTAATATTTCTACAAAGTTTTTTTTTTTTTTTTTTTTTATTTTTATAAAGACCCAGAACTTTTCAATAACTCTTAATTCTGGGCAGTTTGGAGGATTTTCTGTTTTAGGCACAAATTTCACATTATTATTTTAATACCATTCCAAAGCTAGTTTGTAATAATGAATTTAAGCTAAATCTGGCCAGAACACAGGTCTCTTATCGTGCGATTTAATGACAGGTTATAGGCGTTTTTGTAAACATTCTTTAGCATATATTTGACCCGAAAAAGTGTACTGAGAAATTTAAGGTGCTGATTTTTTGCCACACCTGCAAATAGCTTGCCAAATCGAGACTTTTTTAGCAAACTTGTCACGTTTTATGTATTAAAATTTCTTATCTGCTTTTCCTCTACATTTGGCAATATAACAGACGGCTCTAGGAATTTGCTGATGATTGTACTTGATATAAGTTTCATCGTCTTCGATAATACAGAAACTTTTAGAAATAAAATTGTCATAAAACTTTCTGTGGCGGGTTTTTGCACTTTTTTGTTGAGTTTCAGAGCGGTTGGGCAATTTTTGTGCTTTGAAAGAATGAAAACCATGTTTATTTTGAACTTTTTCAACAAAATTATGAGAAAGCCATAAATGTTTGCGCGCTCCCTGAGTGAAAGGCTTGGGTTATTCTTAAAAGTGTTAACCAGTTTTCTAACTAGTTTTTTATCTTTAAAACCCTTCTTTCTTCCACCACCAGATTTACGTTTATGTATACGAGTTCATTTTGTACGAGCTTGTTTCAAAATTTTTTGCTTGCCAGTTCTTTGCAATAACCATTTTTTAGAGTTTTCCTTATGAAACACTTTTAAAAAAAAGTGGGCAGGCCATGGCTTTCTTGACGGCTATGTATGCATAGCGTGAATATACCAACATTTCCTAAGGTATAAACTACTGCCAGAATGCAAAAAAGTTCTAAAAAAATGATTAAGAAGGATTTCTAGGGATACCTACATAGAAAATATAAATATTTATTTATCTGAAAACAGAACAACTGTGAAAAAACCAAATATTTTTTATATTGACAAAGACAATTGACTTAAAAAATTTAGATAAGTTAACTAAGATATCTGACCAATACAAAGTTTGGAGGGCCAGTCGGAGGAAAATTACTCCAACTGAATAACTAATTAGGTTGAAGGGTTGTTTTGAAATAAAACAACCCGTGTGACAAGTATCATTAGTTTAATAAGTGTGACAATTATAAATAATGTAATTTCCTTACAAATAAACAGTTTAAACAATTGGTTCCTGGTAAGGAAAGAACTATTCAAGAATTATTTCCTTGTAATTTAGTATTACCTCAATTAAATCAAGTAAATATTTCCTTTATTTTAATAGTTTTTAATTAATAATATGTGTTACTATGTTAAGTGGATTGTTATCAAATATAAATTTAAGTCAAATTTTGTATAAGGCAGTGTTTGATTTAGTGAAGTCAAATTTAGTGAATTGCCACGATGCCAAAACAAGCAAAGAATCATGATGAAAATCAAAAGTTTGTGTGCCTGCTCTGTCTGAAGAAATGTTTAAGATAGCTTACTACTTTCAAGCAGATCGAATATGCCAACTGTTCAAGACCAAGATCAATATCAGTGATACTCGGGTACCAAAAAGATTCTGTGAACCGTGTAGAATTATTTGCGCAGGAAACAAGAGGGGATTTTAAGTCAATACAAGTGGAACCTGAAACAAGAGGCACGATGTGTTGTTTCCTAATATGCCGAATTGGTCGTTCAAAGCTGCAAGAAAAACATCCTCTTATAGAGCAAACTACTATTGAGAAAAAACCAAAGGTGTGTTACAGAATATACCTCAGCCCTTTAGGAAAAGATTTGCCCCACCAATGCTCTCAAATAATGTTAAGGGAAAACATTTAATACAGTTCATGCTGTTGCTCACTACAATGATTTATCAAGTCTTGTGAGTCATTTTATTCAGTCACGCAAAATTTCTGGTGACTATTTTGTTAAGCTCGGAACTGATGGTGGCAAAGGTTTTCTCAAGTTTTGCGGGCCTGTTAATGTTCTGATTTTGGAAATCATTCCACCGACGGAATTGCATTTCCTTATAGGAGTTGTCAATCATCTTTTCAAGATCCTTAAAACTGCTTAGATAGAAGCTGTTAAGTGGGCAGCCACCCTCCACATTCAACTGAGCCCGTATCACGGTGGCCAGTTTGAGGGAAATGAATGCAGGAAGTTTCTTAAAAATATGGATATGCTGCAGCAACTTGCTGAGACAAACATGGTTCATAATAATGTGTGCATTATTGAAGGATTCAAAAGCTTCAATTTAGTTGTCAAGGCTTGCTTTGGATACATTCTTCAGCCGGATTTCGCTGAAAAAATTGAAAATTTCAAAAAGTGTTACCTAATGATACCTGGTGCAAGCGTAACACCCAATATTCACGCCGTCTTCTACCATATCAAGGATTTCATCAGTCACAAAGGATCCCCCTTGGGGCCCTATAGTGAACAAACTGTCAAAACTTCTCATCAAGATTTTCATCAATATTGGTCGAGGTATAAGCGAAATAATAATCATCCAGAGTACAAAGAAAGATTGTTGTACTGCATAATTGATCTAAGCATCTTTAAAAAACAGCATTTGAGTGATTAGAAATTAGGCTGCTGAAATTCATACTTTACGGCGTATAATGAATATTTTCACCATCTTTAAAAGTAGTGTTATAGAGTATTTGTATTAAAAGAGTACATTGAGCTATTTATTAATATTCTTTTGATGAAGAAAATAAAAAAAACATATCTTAAAACGTAATTAGATATTTGATGGTAATACAATGTAAAAAATAGAGTTTAAATAGTTTTCACTTCATTTTAAAAGTAAATGTATTTAAGGAGGTCAATGCAAAATATTTTAGATCTTATTTTTTTTTTATTGTTTTACTAACTGGTAGTCCTTTGACCAGGTTTTGCACTTTTTTTTTTGGCAGCAGTTTATACCTTAGGAAATGTTGGTATATTCAAGCGAAGCATACATGGTCGTCAACGCCGGGGAGGCTAGGGAGGTCATATCCTTCACTACTTTTTTTAGCGAGGACCTTTTGTTTTAGAAATATAGGCAATTATTTTAGAAATTATGGATTGTATTTCAGAAAATGAGGGTTTGACACCCTCCACTTTGAAGATCGTGTCGACACTATTAGCATAAGACTATTTAAATCACGCTTTAAGTAGTAAATCAGTATTTTGGTCTATAAAATGAAAACTGTACATGTACCGATAAAAAAATTGTAACAAAAATTGTTGGTGTTACATATTAGAACACTCATGTCACCGTTATTTTAAAAATAGTGACCGAATTTCAAAGTAATCGGTAAAGCTTTGAGGTATAAGTAGCAAAAAACTGACAAAACTTTAACTAAAACTGCAATAAATCCTACACCAGACATCCAATTAGGTTGAAATTTTTCCAGAGTTTGGTGTGACTATTGGCTACATTTGCACCAATTTTTTATCAAATTATATTGAGTGGTTCAAATTCTACAAGTGTTTTTATTGGCGCACTATGAAGTCAAAATTTAATTTAATTTGAACAATTAAATTAAATTATTTTCCGCGGACAAAATTACATGATTTCAAAATTTGCATCACAGGGTACCTTGATGTGTACGCTTATTTTCCTTACGAGTGACGTTCTTGGGACAGCTAGGTAGACATATAAAAATCCGTGCTAACCGTATAAAATTACTTATCAATTAAGAATAGCTATCGTATTGGCTTTTGACTATAATTAATTAGAGTCAAATTAATTTTTAATTACAGTTAGTGATTTTAAAAAGTTAAAGCCTATAAGCATAAAAACGCATCTATGTTAAAAACTATTTTTCTATTTCAAATTGCATATGGGAAAAAATTACAATTTATTTTAAATTATTTGCTATGAAATATAAAATTTATGTTTGAGTAGAAATTGTAGTTGAAAGAATTATTTTTATAAAGTTTAATGAAATCCACACACAATATATATATATATATATATATATATATATATATATATATATATATATATATATATATATATATATATATAAAGAATAAATATATAGAGAAAATAAAAAATTAAAGTTATTTATTCGTGTATTTTAAAGGTAAAAAATTAAAAATAATTATAAAACAAGTTTTCTAGAAAAATAAATAATATAAACAAGTATCGAATTTCTTCAATAAACCGTGGAACTATGTACACGAAAACAACACCGTTTACTAAAATCTTACGAAGTATGTGCTCGCTTGGTTTCTCTTTTATTCCAATGTAAACATGCCGCAAGACTTTCAAACCAATCTACTAAATGATCTTGATGACTGATGCAAGGCACCGGATAGACTGAGGTCGTAACGCGAAGGCTTTATACAAAAAAGTAAATCTATCTTTGTAAGTTAAAAATAAATAACAAATTCAAATAATAAATAAATTTTCGAATATTTTTTCAGCAAATAATAACTAATTTTATTTATGACTAGAATTTAATTATGTCGATTCATTGATGCAACTAGAATTAATAGCCCTTAAATTTTGTCGATTTATATGAGGTGACAAAATAAAACATAATTTAACTCATTTTTATTTTTTCATTAAATTTTTAATATACATTTTTTTTATCAATTTTTTTTTTGGATGCAACTACATAACACATCAAGTGTTTTGTAGTTGCAAAAAAAAAATCATCTTTTTGACCATTTGAGCTCTGCATAAATCATTTGAAATTCGAAATACAACATTCCAGTAACTTTTTAAAAAAGTGTTTATTAACTAAAGAATCATTTTATATAGATAATTCCATTCATCAGGGTTGCCAGTGATTTTATCAGTATCAAGTTCCTTAACAATTCTAGATATTTCTTTGATTTTTAAATGCATAAATAATAAGATAGACATACGCTACAATTTTTCGAGATTTCTTGGTTCTAGAGTCAATAAATTTTTTTTGTCTTTCAAAGAACGTAAAAAATAAACAATTTTTGTTGTACGAGAGAAATCCTGGTATTCATTACAGCTAATGCTTACTTCTCGAGCCCCTCTGCTAAAGAATATGTACATTTCTGCAATGAAGTCTTTGCTTTTAATGCTACTTTTTTTTTTTTTATCAAAATTTAATTTGCGTTTTATTTCACGACTTTTTCCAACATTATTATGAGTTCGTTTTTTCCATATCTAGTATCTATTGTAGTAAGCGAGATTAAAACTTTTGCTTATTGCTGACGAGACAGTAAATTCGTGAATTTTAACATTTAATTTTGAACCATATTATATAGATCAGCCTTTAACAAACTGTCTTTAACAAACTAAAGCTTTTCCTTGAAGTTATCTTCCAAAACCTTCTTGTTTACTGAATACCCACTTCCAACCTTACTTGAACCATACGATAAAACAAACACCAATTTACATATTAACGTTAATCCTTGTACTGATCGTAATTTAAAATAGAAACTGAACTTTATCAAACCCAATTTGAAATTAAATTTTGAAAACACTTCTTTATGCTTAAATTTAACTACGATGAGTAATTCATCAAATTGAATTAGATGAATTACTCATCACAAAAATTGTGATAAATTACTCATCACAAAAATACACAAAAATTGAAAAAACTGTCTGTTCTAAGCTGGAATTTTCTTCAAAAAATAAAACTTTTTAACAAGTGACCTAAATCGAGTTAAACACTCTATAATTTGTTGAACTATATTCAAAGGTTGAACTATTCAAAGGTTTTAGGGATGTAAAAACAATCCAATTGAATAATGGGGTGTTAAAAGAATATCTGAAAACAAATGCAGTGCCAAATTTTTTTGAAAAAAGTGTAATCTCAGTGAATAATCTGGTATTTTCTTTTTATCTCGCCCACAGCTTGTGAAACCAATGTGTTGCTGACCATTTTGAAAGATCTATGCCTTAGGAGCTCAAATTGCACAAAGCTGTTTGTGGATTTCTTCCCTTTGCAATTATATACTATAAATTTAGTCCATAAACCATCCATCATTAAAATTGCATTGACAATATTTTAAACTCATTATCATTTTTCCAGCCCCTCTGTTATGCTTATTATACTCATTTTCTATACTCAACTGTTTTTTTCTTAGGTTTTAATATGTTAGTATAATTCTTAGGTTTGCTTTTTTTGTTCTTCTACTTTTTCTTTTTTTCATTTTCATTGCTTAACTTTTATTTTACTTAAATGTTTTTTTTTTTTTTTTAAATAAAATCCAAAATTCCTTTTTAACACCCTACAGTCTATCCTATAACTAATTTTGAATCCCAGTGAATTGCAGAACGAGTCATATGCTTTTCTTTTAAAAATTTACAGAAAAAGCTTTATTGTGCTATGATAGTTTACAAACCCTGTAAACCTATTAGTTGCAAAACAAATGTTCCCAGTCATTTACCAACCCATTTACTAATTTTGAACTTTTCAGACCTTATTTGCTCCTCTCTTCACCCTTTAATTGTTTTGTATCTCATTACTTGCTTATTTTTTACAAAACACAATAAGATCAAATAATATTTTAAAAATATTGTAAAAAAACTTACAACAACATTTTACTTAGAAAACAAGAATAGCGACCGTCAAATGAGCAACGTGGTTCGTTTTTACTACAGCCTTTTGATACAAGAACCTAATTTTAATTTTTATATTTATATACACATATATTTTAAACATAAAAATATTAAAGAACAATAAATCCTTTGTTATTCTATGTTAACATTTTTATATTTTCTTATCTTATTTTTAATATTAAAAATATGAAAAACAAGAAAATAAATTATAAAAATATTAACATAGAGTAAATAAATAAATGATTTAATAAATAAAACAATAATATTGTAAGAATTAAATAAAACAAATTTTTGCGTTTCAAAATTTTTTTACCTTTAGTTCTACACCAGCTGGAAGGACAATAGGACGAAAAGAAAGTGAGTGAGGACAAATGGGAGTCAATACAATACCAGGAACGCTAGGATGAACCATTGAAGCTCCTGCAGCAGCCGAATATGCAGTGCTTCCAGTTGGCGTAGAAATAATAAGACCTTTAATTTTAAAAACTAATTTTATTAAAATTTAAAAAAAGAAAGTTTTGTCAATGGAAGAGTTGTCAACAGATAAAATTGTTTAAAAAATTAAGTTTAAAAATATTTACCGTCACCAAACAAAACAGTTATAAAACGCCCATTGCAATATATTTCTACATTGGTCACAGATGATGAACCACGCTCAATCACTACTTCATTCATCACCTGGAAATATAGATCACCTCAAAATAATAAATGTTAAAAAGCAAAAGTAGTCTCTACTTTAAAAAACTATTACCAAAAAAATTAAATAGTGTTACTAAATATTCAAAATCAATTTCGCTTCCTTCAACATTTCCCCGAGATCCTTTCAAAACTTGCTTTCTTATCTGACACTTTAAACGACTTCTTAACTGCAGACCAACATCAGCTGTAAATATGATAGAATTATTTTTGCATATTTATTTTGAATATAACATTAAGAAACACACACACATATAAAATATATATTGTAAATAATAGAAAAAAATAACAAGCACACATAATAAGTGAGACAAAAAGCACAATGATAAGCAAAGTAGTAGGCTAGTGGTTGAGATTCATTTTCATGTTATGCCTCTGGAAGTACAGCGCTTAACCCAATTCTCTGCGCAGCCACATTGACATGGTTCGTGTTTTGAAGTCTAGGGTTTAAAGATTTTTAAATGAAATTAAGAAACAAAGCAATTCCTTGACTGCAGTTGCTCTCTCTGGAGCCTTGGGGAGGTGAATTTAATTAGAATAAAAAGAGTCATGTATTAAACAACAATTTATTATTTAAAAAATTGACAATATTTAGAAATAGAAATATGCTGTACACTCAATTTCTTGAATGTTGAGTCCAAACTATGCAGAGTTCGAGACTGTAACAGCTGTAACAAAACAAAATAGCTTTAAAAAATAATTGCTAATATTTAAAATGTTTGTCTATTCTGTTTTTAAATTGATTGATGGTACTTGCATCTATTGCATTTCGATCAAGATTGTTGATCATTCACCACTCTATTTGTAAAGAAGTTAAATCTTTTCATGTTGCTTGTTAATTGCCTTTTTAATTTCAAACTGTGACCCCCTTGTTTTTCTTTCATTATCAATAATTTCTGGTGGACGGTGAAAATTAATTATGTCATATCCTTTAAAATATTTGAACATTTGAATTAAACCCCCTCTTCTTCTTCCATTTTCGAGCAATAATAGATCTAGTTTTTTAAGTCTTTCTTTATAGCTATACCCCCGTAAACTTTCGATTCTAGTTGCTCTTTGTTGGACTTTTTCTAATTTATCCTTATCATACTGCCAGTACAGGTTCCAAATTGTGACTGCATATTCTAAGTGAGGTCTAACTAATGAGACAAATAACATCTTCATCATAATCTCATTCATATAACGAAAAACATGTTTGATTTGACCGACTTTTTGTTTTGCTTTATTAACTGCACAGTTTACATGATTATTCCATTCCAAATCGTCTGAAATTAGAATTCCTAAATCATTTTCCAAACTTGTAACCAGTGATTTTTCGCCCTTGATCATAAATTCGAATTGTTGTTGACTATTACCAAATATCACAATTTCTTTTATTTACAAAGCCATGTTGGTTCATGTTAATTAAATTGTTATTTGTTAGATGTTTAATCATCTTATCCCTAACGATCCTCTCGATTGCTTTACACACAATAGATGTCAATGAGACAGATCTATAGTTAGTTGGATCAAGTTTGTTCCCTTTTTTAAACAATGGAATAATATTGGCGCATGACCAAATTTTAGGTATTGTTCCTAATTGAAATGATTTATTAAATATGGTTGATAATGGTTCGGACAATACACGAGTTCACATCTATATTGTGAAATTCTCTACTCCAGTTTATAGTTATAAAATATTGGCTCATTTCATTGTTATTACCTTTGTTAAAATTTATCTTTTCATATATAAACTTACTTTCAATCGTACAATTAACAAAGCTATATTTGAATTCAATAATATGTTGCCCATGATTAATAACTCCTAGTGGTGGGAGATGAATTAATCCGAAAATACAATTTTTGCATTCCGTGATAATTAGATCTAATACGTTAGTCATTACTCCTACATTATTCTGAAATGTAGGTTATATTACGTTTTGGTGTAAAAAAACAATCATTTAAACACTCTAGGAATATTTTAGCCTGTACATCAGACGCGTTCAATAACATTCCAAAATACTCTTCAGACCATTTGACTGTATGGAATTAAAATCCCCACATATTAATAACCCTGTGAACTTTTTATTTATATTCATAGAATGAGCGTATCTTATAGATTTAATTATATCATTACAATTATTCATGTCGCTTGCTCCCGTTCTATATACACATCCGCATAATAATTTTTCTAAACCTAATTCAACTATACACCAAACTTGCTCTACATTTGGGTTATTTAAACAATTCTCTGGAACCTCATAGACTTTGATTTTATCTTTTACATACATACAAACTCCGCCACCTCTACTAATGTTTCTATCCATTCTAAATAGAGCGTATCCTTCTATATTTGTAACTGAAGAATTCGTCCACCATGTCTTGCTTATCATTATAATAACAGCTTTGCTTGAATTTATTTCCTCAATTAAATCAGCTAATTTATTGTTCAATGATGTTGCATTTGTGTATAAGCACGTTATCTTACTAAGTTTTTTACTCAAATTCGACAGTATCAACACAATATTAACACCTTTTTCATTTCGGAAATGAGTTGGAACCTTTAGAACCTAGTAGTGTTGTAACATCATTAGAGAAGCTACAACCATAAAATAGAAGCTAAAATCAAAAAATTATCATTATGGTAAAATTGCTGATATCTAGATCACATGTTGTATTCATAATATATCATATTTTAAAGCATAACACCAATAAATAAATTTGTTCCACAAAGCCACTGACTTGTTAACTCCTAGGTCAGCCACTTGTATGGCTTTTATGTGGTAAATGATAAGTTGTAGTAACTACCATGATTAATAAATGTCCAGTAATTGTTCAAATTTGTCAACTGATATTGCTTCTGTAATATTATATAGTAAAGTGTTCCAGCCATTGACTAAACAGTTGTCGCAAAATTTAATTCTTACTTTTCAGTTCCTGACAATTTCGCAGAGAAATCTAATTCTATGTTCAGGTCTTGATTTAATTTAAACTATCAAGAAGCTTTCACTATTGATTCCTTTATTCACTATTGATTCCTTTATTCACTATTGATTCCTTTATTCACTATTGATTCCTTTATTCACTATTGATTTCTTTATTCACTATTGATTCCTTTATTCACTATTGATTCCTTTATTCACTATTGATTCCTTTATTCACTATTGATTCCTTTATTCACTATTGATTCCTTTATTGTCTGTCTTCAAGAGTAGTTAATTGTATAATTTTGCATTGAGTCTTGTATCCTTTGTTTTTAAAACTTGAGATACTTTTGTGATATTGTACCTTCTTAATTTTTTGATGTCACTAAAAAGGTAATGGTTCCATGCTTGTATGGCTAACTGCAAAGGGATGGTCTGATATATGCAGTATAAAGTTACAAAGTGTCTGTTGATACAATTTTGTGTTTAAGAATGCTGAGCATACTATTTGCTTTGTTTACTGCTAAGTTGCAGTGATGTATTTAAGATTCTCAGAGATTTAAATTCCAAGATCTCTTTCGGAATTAGTGACTTCTAAAACTACTTTGTTGGCCATGCCTGTTTAATATCATCCATAAAATATTAATATTGTTTAGTCCTGAGTTATCATGCATGACTTTACATTTTTTTTTAAATTCAACTCCATTAGCCAGGTTTGTGTAAGAACATACAAAAATAGAAAATAAATAATCAAATTCCAACCAAAAAAGAAATTAAAAGTAAAACTAAATCCAAAAAAGTTAAACTCACAACAAAAGTTTAAATGCTATTATAATATAAAATTTGAAATAAAAATTGGAAAAGAATTGAAATAAGTACTTAAATAAAAAACAATAGCATGCATATGTATATAGATATTTACCTGCTAGAACATTGTTTAAAGCAGCTCGAAAATTATCCATAGCGAATGGGGCCAAAAAACCCATAGATCCCAAATGAAAAGATATTACTGGCGGACAACAACCCTTAAGAAAAAACAAACAGCTTTCATACAAAACATATAAAATAAAATGAAACAATTTCTTAATATTTAAATAAATACTTTAAAAAAATTGAACAAGCTAATTAATAAACATTACTTGAAATAAAGAAGACACATGCAACAAGGTACCATCTCCACCCATACAAACAATTAAATCAACAGATTCACGTTTCCCATTTTTACCTGAAAATATATTTTTAAAAATTCAAGAAAAGAAGAAAATATTAAAACAAGGAACATTTTAGAAATATTATCAAAAATATGAAAAATACTTAGTCCTGCTTAATTACTATCTACTTAAATTCTTTTATTTTATTTACTTTTACAAAAGATATTTTCTTAAAACTATAAAAAAATGTAGTAAAAACTAAATTCTTACACAAAAAAATATTTAAAATACCAAAATACCTATCAGTGGCAGCAATTTATTTAAATACTTGGATGAAAATACATCATCAAATAAAAAATTATCCTCAACCAAAACACGGTCTTCAACAATAACTGTCATACCCTTTTCCTAAAGATAAATGTACAATTTTAAACTAAAAAGTGATTTACTTTAGCAATATAACAGACAGTGACAACATATCTGACAGCGACAACGTTCTGACGCTGACAACGTATCTGACAGTTCAACTGAGAACAAATGAATAATAGAAATGAGATTTAGTGGTTAAAAAATAAATTACTATTATGATAATTTTTTATAAATACTTTGTTTTCTCTTTATATGAATAATAAAAAATAAACAGAGATAGTAAAATTGATTCAACAACAAAATTTTAGCATTTATTAATCAATTTAGACATTGTTTGTTTTTTTATTTACTTAGGAAAAGAGGGTTAAACAAGTAAATACCTTTAACAGAATCTACATTTATCTTTACCTAAAAATTATTATTTATACAATTAAGAGCAAAATAAGCTATACCTAAAGTGGCTCATTTACTATTTGATGATAAACTCAAGATGCTATATTTAATGCAAAGAAGAATTGAACATTATCTTATTAAAATACATTTATAATTACTTTGAACAGTACCATTAATTAGAGTACCAGTGTTAATAGTAACATACTTGGGTTGGTTGAAAGAGTTAAATTTGTTTAACTAAATTCCTATTATAATAAACTATATGTTAACTTTTGACTGAAATTATTGTAAATAAAATAAAACTTTATACATTCAGACAATAAATTAAGTAAATTAAAATAAAAAAACTAAACATAATAATTTTAATAGATATAATAACAGCAAAGTGACCGCAAAAGCATTTTTTTACTTATATATAAATTATATTTCAACCTTAGAATTTTTTGATTCCATGAAATAATTATTAAATTAGTTTTAAAAAAGACAAAGTAATTTTGAGTCTCTTGTTTCTTTACATTTACCCTTAACTACTTAGAGAAAAAGTGAAACCCAAGTGTAATACTTAGGAGTATGAAGCAGAGCAATATGAAGCAAAGTTAAACAGACTTGACAAAGCCTATTTAATAGAAAGGTTCATATCATATTGTTTTATTTAAAAAAAGAACACCATGAAAGAACACCCTGAAACAGCATAAAAAAAAGACAACAACAAAGTTAAAATAACTAGAAAACAACTCAAATTTTACTGTTTCCATTTTTGCTATATCAAATTTAAAATTGTTTTAATTGAAAGTTTTTTATATCCAAAACTATTTACTTTGGAATAAATAAGTTCAATTTGTTACATCCAACCTATTTGTGATTTTTCAACAATTTTACTACTTTTGCAATAAATAACATTTAATTTGTTACATCCAAATTTCAATTTTTTATACAATTGTTGGTTGGTTTCTATTAATGAAAAAAACAATCTTTTAGGAGAAAAAAAAGTGGGGACTCATAAGTATGTTAAAAAAAAAGAACATTGAAATTACCAAAAAATAAGTTTAAATACCTAAAAAAAAATTTGTTTAGGTGCATATATATATTATAATACAAAAGATATAAAAAAAACACTACAAAACCACAAAAAAAAAAAAAAAAAACTACAGATCAAATAAAAAAATCAATGAAACAAATCATGCAAATAAAAACCTTTTAAGATCTATTAAGATTTTTTACTATTATATAAATTTAAAATTCCAGTTAGTCCTGCAGAGAGCTAATAACACTTACCTGCTGATAATTAAATTTTTAAAAATTAAATTTTGAACAACATACATGATACTAAAACCCAGAAAACATCTTCAAAATGTGGTCTAGTAAAGTTTTTTAAAAAATACTTTTAATATGTCACATTTTTTTTTTTTTACATTTTTGTACAATGTAATAGAATGGCATCAATTGAAAGGTATAGGAAAATGTACTCTTAACACTCTGTGAAAATATTCACACATTTTCTTCGTTGAATTCAAAGTACCTGTTAATAACTGTATACTTGTCCCTGCTATAACTTATTTGACAATATCTATCACAGAAACTCTCTCATGTGATAAAGATTCTTGAGACACTTCATAATGGCAACTGGTGTTAGATATAACCTTTTAGATTTTGGTATTAAAAACTTGCATCATAATTAAAACATATATAATCATTAAAGGTCTTTTAAATGTTTTAATACTTCATAAATGATACAAAAAAGTAAATAGTAAATAGCAAAAGAATGTCATACGGTTTGACTGTTGTTCCAATGGATTTCTGCTACTGCAACATGAATTAAAAAACTTTAGTTTTCAGCAAAATTTAGTAATATTAAAATATAACTACATGCTGCTTTTCCTTTCTGCAAACATGCTCTTGACTTTTAGCTAATGTTGTGGTTTTTAGTTGACAAGCATGTTTGATAAAACCATCCACTGGAATTGGAACTAAACCATGTTTTTTATCAGCTCTATGCCATTGATTGAAGATGATTTTTATCAGCTCTATGCCATTGATTGAAGATGATTTTTTAAATGTTCTTATCAAACAAAACAGTAAAACTTAAAACTTTGTGTGTGGTGGGTTTTGAGCTATTTGTAATGAAGTCATATTTCTTTTCTTTTTCTTTTAGTCTTTGTCTTAAACTAATTCTACTTTATTTTTGAAAACTAATTCTTCTTTATTTATTTCATTTTTTTCTCAGACATTCGCTGCTTGGTGAATTTGGTGAATTTATACGCAAAGTTTAATATAATTATAAAAGATCTTTATGAGTTCCCACTTTTTTTACTTTTGATATCATTATAAGAAAGTCTAACAAATCAGCTTAAAAAAACTAATTTAATTTAAAATTTAAAAAAAAAACAATTTTTTTTGTGTAGATAAAAATTTTCAAATCATTGCTTGAGACAATTCCAAACCAAAACAAAATAATTATTAAATTGTATCATAGCATTAAATTTCTAAATATACTGTTACAACTGCTAGTTTTGCATATTGATACACAAAAATTAAACTTTTTAAAACTTAAAATGATTTTTCAGGTTTTTTAAACAACCATTAGGAACAAAATATATCTTTAAAAAAAATTAATCAATGCTTTACAAAAGCAGAAAATTTTTGATGATAAAAAAATTAGGTTATATTATTTAAAAATCTATTTCGAAAATATAGATTTTCAAAGCACAAGCAAAATATATTTTACTATTGGAAATTATATTAATAAGAAAGAAAAAAAAAATCAGAAATTTAAAATTACCATATCTTATAAACCATAAACAACTTGATGCTGTTGTTAATCTCTCAACATTGGCCTGTACAGCTGCAATATTTTCAGCAGAAAACTTTAAACATAGTTCAAAGCTAAAAACTTTATGCCATTATACATAATGCATGCGCAATAGGCTTTGCAATGTGTCATTTTGTAACAAAAGTCAAAATCCAGGGACACTATACTTTGCAATCTTAGACATTTATATCAAATTGATGATGTTTAAAGTTTCAGTTCATAAGGTCATGTGTAACAGGATTACATTAAACTCATTACAGATTTTGTGGGTCATCACACAAATTATGTTTTCAAATCAGCATTAATGTCTTTTTTCCATTCTGTGGCCTAACATTGTTGTATGCATACTTTTTATTTTGTACTCAATTTTTTGTTTTATAAGTTTTTGTTTGGTGATATATTTGTTGCATATCTTTGTTCATATAAGTGTTTATAAAAAAAAAAAATTTAATATTTTTTTTTATTATTATTTTTTTTAATTATCTTATTTTTTTTATTATTATTATAAGTATTGTTTAGGTGCATTGTATGTCTTATTAATTTTTAAATATTCCTTTATTAATCTTAATTTTTGTCTTGACAACTGTCAAAATATGCTTTATTTGAAAAATAAATAGTGTGCGACCATTTGGCGAATTTTATATGCCAAAGTTTTTAAATAATTAATATCTGGTGTGTAACTTTTGTGATCTGAATTGTTAATATATATATTGCACCAGCAATGAGTCTTGCCTCATGCATTCCATTAGGCTTAAGGAATCTAATGTTCTGAATAACTCCGCAAAGGAAAAATATACTTGGCTTAAATAACTTGCGGTTTTTATCTCTAGCAAGGGTTTCATTTTGAAATGCACAAATCAAGTAAGTTAATGCTTTTTTGGCACCTATTAGACTACAGTTTTAAAACTTTAATTTTCGTCTTCTTGGGTCAAATAAGAGAGTATTGTGTTTGTTTGCTTTTTTTTTTTTTTGACAAATGCTAATGTGAAATTATGTTACATGGCAGTCAAAATAGCTTGGATTGATACTTCAAGTGCATGTCACAGGCAACCTTAAAGTTAATGTCAAACAACTGGCTGCCAAATGTCTGAAAAGGATTTTAACGGCTAATCCTGTACATAATACCTTAGAATTATTAATTTTACCTTAAAAAGAACTATTAATGTACAGAGACAATGATTTTAAAGTTATTTTAAACAAACTTTATCTAACCATATTGCAGATTATACATAATTATTTTATTTGAATTTCATTGAGATGTTTTGTTAAATGTTAACTATTTTTTGAGGAGTATGGTTAATGTAATACCAAAGAAAACACAACAACAAAAAAACAAACTTTTGTTTCAGCCATCAAAAACTATAGTTAGCTTATGTAAAACTGTATATAACCGTATTCTTCAATCTTATTCTAACAAAAAAGTAAAGAAAAGGCAGAATCATAACAAATTGTGAGTCACAAAAATTGCATAACACAAATTTGAGAGGCTATTGCTATTGTGCCTGTGTGGAGATAAAAGTATTGTTTACTTATCTATAAAATATGTAGAATATTTCTTGCTTATTTTTTCAAGTGTCGAAAACCAATAACTCAATAAAGATTGATATGTCATGCCAACAGAATATTTATAGAAATAGTAAAACAAAATATTTACAAAATATTGAAAAAGAAAAACAAATGTTTAAAAAAATAATTTAGGCTGTTTTAGAAATTTTATAAAACAGGACTACTTTTAGAATTCCTTTTTTTTTTTTAATTAGAAATATTTACATCAAAATTTACATAGCTAGCACTTTTCAATTTTGTAACTTTTTATTTATATATTGATGAGTTTGCTTTTAATACAAATCCTGATACAAGCCTATTTATCAACAAAATATAATAAAGCAAAACCTGAGCCTACCTAAAAACCACAACAAATTGGATCAAATTTTGCAGCCCATGGCTAAATTCCAAACTTTTTGTTAAAGCAAAACAGTTTGCAGAATACAAAAATGGTGTTAAAATGATGACTTTTTTTTGCCTTTAAGTTCAAATATAATATTTAAAAGCCTTTCTGGGAGTTTATAACTTTAAAATTCAAAAACTTATTACCTAATTCTTTTTTATGAAACAAAGACAGCTTGTCAAGCAAGTTTAAAATCTCTTTAAAATTCAAACCCCCTTTATTTAAGATTTATAATTTTTAAAAAACCTTGATACATTTTTGTTACACATATATAGTTATATAAACATGATATTTCTGAGTTGTTCTGAGTTGATGAAAACATCTAATTATTGGAGAATTCTATTAAAAAGAATTTACAAAAGAAGAAAAAAAACGAATCCTACTTCAATTAACCATTGAATTACTTTCTTGCATTCATTGCTTACATCATTATCAGATATCTTTTTAACAAGGAGAACATTTTGAGGTTTTGCCTTCCATTCAAGACATTGCAGTGAAGGATCTATCACACCACTAAAAAATAAGAAAGTTCTTCAAAAAAAAAAATTCTAATGTCACCCATCAAAAATGCAACTTTATATTGCAAAATTTGTCATGAAACAACTTTATATAATTTTGATATTAATATAAAAAATATTATATAGAAAATATTTTACATAAAAAATGAAGTTGTTAACATTTTTACTCCTGCTTAAATACTCCATAATAAACTATTTGATAAAATATTTTAACTCTGATTAACTTATACATATTGAACATCAGAAGCTATTCTACAAGAGCACGTGTTTTTTTTTTAAAGGTTATTTAGGTGTTCCCAGAAGTCCTTACGGTCTTATCACGGAGCAACGCGGGAGAATATTTAACTAGAAGTTCACGCCTCCTTCCTTACCAATGTTGCTTATTGGGCTAGAGCTGGCATTAAACCTTGGACCTCTGGGTTCTGAGCCAGAATTCTAACCACTGTGCCACGGCTGCTCAGCTGCTGTGCGTGTGCGTTGTGTGTATGTGTGAATGTGTGATACCACCAAAATTAGGCGATTTTCAAGTTGTAGTCAGTGTTTTGAAGAACATAATTGACTACTCAGGTACTTGACACATTTTAGTTGGGTGATTTTTAGTTTTGAGGACTTTTTTTTTCTTTAAAAAAAAAATTAAAAAAAAAAAAGTTGGTACTAAATTCTTATATAAAAAATTGAATTATTTTAACATTCTTTTATTTTGTAAATAATAAAAAATAACTATTCACATGCCTAATATCTTCATTAGTTAAGCACTACCAAATACTTTCCATAAATTTTTTATGGGAAGAATTTGGAATTCATTTGGGCATTGACAGTTATTTATAAATCAATATATAAATCTTTTTATAAAGACAAGTCTTTTTCAACATAAGAATTTATTTATATTAAACAAACTTGTACATATGTACTTGTACTTATAGTGAATATCAAAAAATTTATCATAACACTTTTTCTTTCCTTTAATTAAAGCTTCATGGGTGACTTGAATGATTATGGAATAGAGGACTTTTAAGTAAAGCCTAACTGATCTCCTCAAGGATCTACTTTTCCATCTGACATTAGCGATATGATTTGAAGCAAACCTAATAATATTTACAGGTTGGTATGATTAACAATTAAAGTCAAAAATTAACAATTATAATTTTATTATAATTGAGTATTACAACAACAGCTGCATAATATTGAGTATAAAGTAAAAGTTTCAATTTATTAAGTCATCTATGATAATTCTGCCTTTAATGCAGTTTAAAAAACTTTATGTTGCATTAACTTTATGTTGGTTTCTTCACTAAAAATGATTCTGCCTTTTCTTTACTTTTTGTTAGAATAAGATTGAAGAATATGGCTTTATATGTTCAGTATCTGTATATGTTTTGAGTTTGATCACCAAAATGCCCCTGGTAGTACCACAAAAAAACACAAGAGATTTTATTGATCATAAAATCTCTTGTGTTTTCTTTTTCAGCATTGTCAACTCTTAACCAACACTGTCAAAGTTTAAATACTGTCTAATTCCAAGATTGTTAGTACTGCTTCAACTCAAATATTCTTTTTCACTTGTGTTTTTTTCTCCTAAATGATAAAAAAAGAAGCATCCAAAGGGTGTCTTTCCTTTAAGGTAGCTGAGTAGTGGATAGTGTTTTGGTTGGCTTTAGCCATAATTTAAATTTTAAATCTTTAAAAAATTTCTACAAGAGAAATAAAAATAAGCGTTAAATTTATTAATAAAATACAATAAAATATTTTTATTAATAAAATACAATAAAATATTTTTATTAATAAAATACAATAAAATATTTTTATTAATAAAATAAAATATTTTTATTAATAAAATAAAATATTTTTATTAATAAAATACAATAAAATATTTTTATTAATAAAATACAATAAAATATTTTTATTAATAAAATATAAATAAAATATTTTTACTAATAAAATACAATAAAATATTTTTATTAATAAAATATAAATAAGAACACAATAAATAGAAATGCTCAATAATTAACAAATGATATGATTAGCATTGATTACAAATTACAGTGATTAGAGTTACATTATTATTAAATTTATTAAATATCTGATTGGAAACATTTATTAAACTTTAAATAATCATAAGTAATACTAAATGCAATCAATCACTTATGAAATTATAATATAAAAATAAAATGAAACTTTTGTTTTAAAATAAAAAATTACAATAATATAAAACGGATATCAGTCAATCTCACAAATCATAGCTACCACTAAATATGCTTCATAGCAACCCTTCAAGTAGTCCAACTTTTGGTATGTAATACCTAATGAATAGAGGAACAAAGCATGGTGTGCAGTAGCTCATTGATAAAGGAATCTTGAGAATAACCCAAGTAACCTTAAGGTGGTACACCACTAAAAAGCACTTTTTCAATTTAAAATAGGAATAAAACCAAAAGCTAATATTTTTCTGATTATAAATTTATAAAAAAAAATATTTGAAATGAAATTTTTTTCTAAAAGTTTTTTTCATATCCATAATGGCGGAAAAACTGCTTTAAAAATGCATAAAATTCAATAACTTTGTGATGTGATATCTTCCGTTATATACATTTTCTCTAGTTCAAACTTAGTATATTGTTGCATTATAATGTTTTATTCTGGTTGACAGATGGATTTTTAATTTAAGGACATATTTTAAGTTTTATTACGAATTATTAAAAATATGCTTGAAATTCTAAGTAATTTGACTTAACATGTGAACTAATTTCTTTATTTAAAAATATTTAAGAAGAATTTTTTAAATCCCATCTGTTAACCGAATTTCTTGAGTATATTGAGTATACCCTGAAAATTTCAGGCAAAAATCATTACTCAATACAAAGATATTATGTTTCAAAGTTACCCTAGTATTACAAAAATGAAAAACTGTTAAAAACACATTTAAAGTTTTTTTCCAGTAAAATCTTGGTTAATGTCCACCAGAAACATATGACTGATTAGTTTTATTTAAATTTTGTTTATCACTGAACCCTTTGGTTATTGATCTTAACTTTTTTCTTTGCTTTATACACTTTTGTGTCGATTTTCGCTTTATTTGATTCACACGAGAATTGTCAAACTGAATAGATGTCATTACTGTTATATACCCAGTCATATTGAACTCTTTTAAAACATCCAAAATACTTTCACTACTATCATTAAATAAATAACAGCAGAGTAAGTTCCTATTTCAACTATTTCTCTACTGACAAAAGTGTTTTTTGGAACTCTAGACCATATGAGGGCATTCAAGGACTCATTAGGATTTTGTGTCTTACCATGAAGGCATTTAGATAGCAGTTGATTGCCATGTAAGTTTTTAAAAATTGGTATTAGCAGGTTTTTCATCCAGACTGGAATTGAATTTGATGGTATATACTGCTTTGTTTTACTCCAATACCTGCACCACGCTAGAACAAGAGAGTAGAATAAAATTTGAGGTCTGACAAGATACTCTATTTGGTATAACACAGTTCCATTTTCTATGCTTTTTTTTAGAAAGGTTTTTTTTTGTTGCAAACTTAACATTTTTGATGTAGGTTTCCTTTTCCTCCTGAACTCATCATTATATACACTAAATATAAAGCTAAAGTTATTAAATCATATTAACAAATATATCTCAGACAAAGTAAATATCAAAGTAAATTGATATTACAATGTAAAAGTTACAACAACAACTATTTAAATTGTCACAAAACAAATGTACCTTTAAAGTATAGTTCAAAACTTTACGAATATAAAAAAGAAGCCTAGCATAGCCTAAGCATATTCCATAAAAAAGAAGCCTAGCATAGATTTTAAAGGTTTTTTATTCTGTTGCTAAGGCGTTGCTATGGTCAAAATTTTCAATAACTTGAAAATTTTAGAAAAATGCATTTTTAAAGTGTTTTATGTAATTAAACAATATAAGATGGTTATATCAAATGAAAAAGGATAAAATTTGGAAAAAAATGAGTCCAAAAACTTAATTTTGAAAATTTACTCCAAAATCACTGTTTTTTTAGTGGTGTACCACCTTAAGAACAATATTTTTCTTAAACATTTATCTTTTTCCATTAAATGATGAATCACCCTATTATACAGCTAACTTTATTCACTGATGTTCCTCAAGTTAGTAGCCATAATAGCTTTTGTTGTAATATACCTCCATCATTTTAGTTCAGTCTTTGATTGAGTTATTTGACACAGTTGGCAACAAATGTTTTTGATTTTCAACTTTAATTTCTAATCCACCATAAAACATTAATACTATTACACCATATCGTTATGTCTTCAATTTCAAGCTTCAAGACGTTTTTGCATATTGTAAACCAAGAACAAGTAACCTAAGCCTTGGTAAACTAATTAATGATTGCAACAGACATATAGTAAGTGACTGAGGTTAAAATTTTACCAGAGCTGAGTTTGATAAAAAACAGCCGGGGCTGGAGCTGGGGGTGGGCTGCATAAACATTGATACATCCTAAATATAAATATAATATAAAATACAAAAATAAAATTAATATAAAAATATAACATAAAAATATAATATAAAAAATCTCAAGCATGTTCTTTCCTTAAATAAAGCTCATTTATACCAAATGAAACACACTCTCTCCAAGTTTTTTTACTTTTAACTCATTTTCTTCTTAAGCTGCACCTCTCTACATGCTGATACCTAAACCACTTTGATCATCTCTGACAAACAGTACTTAATACAACATTTTTTTAAATCTCTGTTTACCACCCATTCATTTGATCATCATCTTCTCTTTTAGCAAATACTACACTATACAAATACTTGAGTCTATACAAATATGTAAAGATGTTGTATACCACCATCTGAATATACAACAAACATGTTTATACCCATATATATCCATACTATGTATGCATAAATGTGCCACTTATCTAACCTGCTAGATCCAAGCAGGTATGGAAGCTTTAATTTCTTTTCTCTGGTTTAAAATCAAGCCTCATTTTATTCCACATTTTTCA